CCGCGCATGGGAGAGAAAACAGTCGTGCGGAACAGTTTTCTTAATGGCTGCTGGGGACCCGAGGAGCGGGACCTGCCCTTTAACCCTTTCCAACCTGGGCAGAACTTTGAGGTGAGTTGGCTTTGATTCCAGCACAGAGGGGTCTCATCAAGAAAAAGGTGAAAAAGGTCAACATGGCAGCTACAACTAGGCAACAGATCGCGGGTTCCTATTTTATCTGGCTCACGGACATATCTCTGGATTCCAATAAAGAGCTAGTCCGGTTGGCTGCTGAGAAGGCAGGCAGTGGGGAGTATAAAGAAGATCCGATGTGGTGCCTCCAGAGACAGAGGACTCCATCTCCCAGAATTCCCACCAAGCATAGCCATGAGGAATTGAAATCTGAACCTCTGGAAGGATGTTGAGATGGATACCCCCTCTAGTGGTTAAGAGTGGAACTGCCTCTCCAGATAGCCATTCAGAATCCTGGTTTATTTCTCTCCTGGAAAAATTGCATTGCTCTTGGTGCATTAGGGGGGGGGGGAGGAGAAAAACAGATAGCAGTCGCAACCCCTCGTTAATAAAGCTCCACCACTTATGTATTCTGGGTGTCTTCTGATTTTGACGCAGGCTCCAGGACCGAAGTTGATCCAGATGTGCTGTTTCGGCCATACTAACGTCTTTCTTCTCTTCCCAGCTGTCAGTCCGTTGCGGCAACCACCGATTCAAGGTTTATGTCAATGGCCAGCCTTCCTTCAACTTCGCCCATCGTTACCACAATTTTCAACAGATCAACACCCTCCAGATCGATGGAGACGTGGTCCTTTCCTATGTCCAATACTAAGCATGGCGGCGGCGGGGGGGGCGAGGTAGCACTGTCAGAGACCCCCATTTTTCTCTCTTGAGGTCTGCCAGGAGACTCAAGAGTCCTGCTAGATTGCTGTAGTCTACATAAAGATTTTAATAAAGATACTTTAATTTGGCTTTTTTGGAACAGCCGTCGATATATAAGCAACAAAATAAAGAGCCAAGCCAGACACTGTCGTATCATGGTTAGCTGGCTGCCCTCAACTGACTAAGCCACTGCGAGCTGCTTTATTTAATTGTTAAATGCATTCTTTAACTCCTGAAAACAAGGCTGAAAAAAGGAGGCCCGGAGACCGTTTGACCCTGATGGGACCAAATTTTGCATCAGCAGCCAAACAACATTACAACCTGATTTATTTATTTATTTATTTATTTATTTATTTAATTTAATTTATATACCGCCCTTCTCCCGAAGGACTCAGGGCGGTGCACAGCATATTAAAACAAATAACAATAAAATACCAGAATAAAAACCCCTCTAAAACCAAATTAAAAGCCAAATATTAGTAGCTGTGTAATAATTAAAATTATATTAAAATCATCCCTAACTAAAATCCACCCTAGGTCAGGCCCGCTTGCT